TTGGCTGGGAGTGCATTCGGAGTGCATAAACATAAGCGGCCATCGGATGATTGTGAACAGTTTCATCAGGTTGTCTAAACCCTTCCTAAAGACGATATCCGAGGGATGGACTGGATACAAGAAGTGGACATAGTTGTCCTCACGTCTCGCTGCAGTAGCCCATCACAAAGATGGTTAAGAACCTGACGTCATTCTTTTTGAAACCAGAGGACTCGCACCCTGATGGCCATTCAAGGGAACGCAAGTTTAAGATTGATTCATTCCTCAGGGCGGTGGGTTGCTGCTTGGCGTGGAAGCCTACAGTGTGGCAGTGTTCTGCATAAGGCTTCCAAGCACTGGAAGTACTGCTATTTTACACGGTCTGGAGCAAGAACGTGGTGATGGAGACCCACAGTGTTCAATAAAGGGTCGGCCCATCAATCCTGTGATTGCATGTTTGCTCGTTGTGAGGTGAAGCTACTGAGATTAAAATGACCTTCAATAAACTCATATTGGAGGAATGATTCCAATGACCTACGGCAGTAATGGAGTTTTAAAAGTGCATTTGTTTTCCAATTAAATGGCTTTGGTAATAACTTTCATCTGCTGTTTTTTTTCTAAGACCTCATTTACACTCACTTTCAAATGAGATTCAAGACACTATCATTTACACACGTAGTCACAGTCTGTCTGTGTGTTTCTGGCCTGCATGTATATCAAGGTCAGACCTCCTCTGGTCGAGAAGGAGACCGTAATGCACCTGAAGCGGTTTGGTAAGTGCCTTGTTGCTTTAATGAGCTGGAGAACCAACAGACTTCGGCTGCTGCTGCCTTCACAGAGGAGACAGACAGTGGACGTCTCAAGGAAATCAGCGACTAAGTGCACGAGTCCACAGACTGCTCACTATCATATCAACTGTGTGAAACTACACTGGAGAAAATAATTTGCCTTTACACCTTATCAACATCCATTCCCTGCGGTCTTGTATCTCTGTGAACCGGCTCAAGTGGCATGAAGCGACTGAGGGGGAATTTGGTGCCTAACTGCTCACATTTCTCTCCATATGTGACGTGGTACAAAAATGTCTCACAGCTTTTAAATCCCGGCCCAGTGTGCCAGCTCTTTCAAAATTACACTCGCCCACATCACCACCTCAAAATGTTATTAAAGAGAACGTTGGCTACACATCCTCTTTTGCAAAAAACCCCAACAATTGTTATAAGGAATGTGAACACGCAAACAGGATACAGACTTAGTTGCTATCGCTAGCGCTTTAAACTAATTTGCTTCCCGCTCTGCATTGAACTGTGAATACACTGAAGCAAGCAACACTGTAGATTATCGAGCATCGGGAAACTACATTTTTGTGGCTGGCCGGCGCTCTAATTTGCTCCCACCGGAGAGCTCTAGAGATATTCTATTAAAATAACATGAAAGGCACTATGGCTTCACCCACTGGGATTCAGGGACTTTCCAACCATTACACTTTCGTTATTCTGGGTATAAATTGTGTTTTACGGTCAAATTATGGTTTAAATGCTATTTAACATGCTTGACCGTGCTCCTGGGAATATGTCTTTGGAAGAAACGATAAGCCCCTTTTGGAATTTTTAAATGCAAATAGTCCAACTTAAAGGTCCTATAGAGAAACCTGTATTATTCCGAGGGGCTAAACTGCATGTCAGCGTGGTCTGAAGTGAAGCGGCTTTCGCGCGATGGCAGTTCACTGCAAAAAATGACGGCAAAAATGCTTCGGAATCACTTATAGGAAACTAAGAGGGAGCAGGGGCGATCACGCTATAATTGCCTGGCCAGCATTAAATGAGGACACTCTATTGACTGCTTGGAGGCGACTCAGCCGGAACTTGTCGCATGCATAATAAACCATGCCAAACTGCAGCAGAACCGAAAGCAGCCTTTATGTTTTATGCTTAACACCTCTGCACCGGGAACTGGGGAATGCAGGGAAGCTTGTTAAACATTTGCGATGTATCAATGTTTTTTGTAGTTAAGTAACTTACGTCACAAAAGTCAAATGAGTCACTGGACGCAAACAGAAAGAAAGAAGGTCTGTTCGTTTGTGGGCCCAAACACCTGCAGGGCGGAAGCTAAAATAAATAGGTTTCTGACAAAACCTGTGTAATCTTTTCGTAGTCAGACTTGCAGGCAGCTGTCTTTGGAAAGCAGTAGTCACAGTGAGCAATGAGAGATCAGAGAAACATTCAGTCGCATTTCTTCATTATCTGGACATCTAAGGAACTGTGTATCAGAGGACGTTGTCTCCTTAATATGAGGGATAACTGACCGTTAAGTGGTGTGAAAACATAGGTATATATATAATATATATAGTGTATATATGTATACAGAAAGACTCTGCCAGGCAAAGACTTGAGTAGGTCTTTATGTATAATACTGGCAGATCCTCTGGCTCTCAAACTCACATATAGAGACTATGTTTGTACCACTGTTTATAAATCATTCCATAAATAGTGGTGTACCAGACCGCTGTTGATCCGTACGGATCAACAATTCAATTAAATGAAAACCGCTATGGTGCTTGTGTGTGTGTCGTTCACAGGGTGTGGATTTTCAGTTGCATATTTCGACTATCGCAGCTTTAAGTTATGGTTATGTCACTAATACATTGACATCCACGGTTAGTGTTTGACCAAGGCAGTTAACGTTTCATATTTCAAGATAGTTTAAAAAATGAAAATGTTACTACCAAGCCTACTAGTGGATAACGTATAGAATGAAATGCAAGAAATGTATCTTACCACAGCACATTACTGCCGTGCAGAGTTGTTGCTTGGTGTAATCACAAATGGGCAGGGGAGATAGACAGTGGGGTTTGTGTAGCCGTGGGGGTTACTGCATGTGCAGAGCCCCATAACTCCTGCACATACCGTATCGAGACTGAGGCCGATAATTATGAATAATCATTACAAGGACTAAACGGTATAACAATAATTTAGCTACAAAACCTTCAACCCAGTAATATTTCTTCTTGAAATGATATAAGGGTTTGTAAAGTGGAGCTGCCGCCCACTATAAGCCCTGTTGCTGCCATCAGTCTAAAGCCTGCAGACAGTTTCTGCGGGTTATTACTGCCGTATGACAGCCTATTATCTCTCCACGACAGACCATTACCTGCACAGAGGAGCTGGGTAATGGAATAGGCAGGAGGACAGAGAGGGGACAGTGCGCTATCAACAAATCAAACAGATGCTCTTTACGCTGAGCCGCCGGCAGGGAAGCCAACAGAGTCGACTCAGCAACAGTGCACATGGTCTCACAAGAGTGACGGCCTTTAACCAAGTGGTGCATTCAGATTCAGACTACTCAGGGAAAAAGCTGACTAGTGTGAGCATGTGACTCTAAATCAAGCTGCATCGCTGCATCTTACAAAGGGGCGGAACATTTTCGCTCATTTTGCGGAAACTTTCCAGAAAATGTTGGAAATTTTGACCATTATTTTTGCAAATGCGTTTAACCGGGTACATAAATACATAAAAGAGGACAAGACTGTACAAGCCCAGCTCAGCTGGACCCCGGATGCTGCTAGTGGGGAACATAGTCTGCAAGAAACGTAAACACAAAACGTCATTACCGAGCATATTGACCAATTGGTAAACTGAAGCCCCGTTCATTTTAACACAAAGTGTATTTCTATACGGTATATACAACATTTGAGAAGATAAATACAACAAACCTGCTATTTTGGATTTAAGTTACTTCTTAAAGACGAAGAAGAATGCAAAATACAATTTGTGTTCTGCAAAGGGCCACAGAAATGCTTGGGTACTTAGTTTCTACTGAATCAGTAGATGCTCCTTTTGATGAAATTACTTTGAATTAGCAAATCAATGTAATGTAACTAGCCGACAAAATGACCACAAAGACACTGCTTATTGATTCTGTTCCGGCACAGCGATCGATGGAAAACTGAACAGCAATTGTGCCGAGATAAGGATTTGAAACAACTGGGAGCCCCCATTGCACCAAAACAGCACCGCCACAGCCTCCACCCGTCTCTCTCTCCTCCGTGTGTGTCAGTCAGTAGCCTTCTCCCCTTTGTTCTTCATCTGTTCTCTCACTTTGGTCCTTCTCTCAACCAAGTGTCCCAGCAGATTCATCGCTTTCACAACCAGAGAATATCAGTTTAACAACGGGGGGGGGGGGGTGTTTCAGTAAGGCTCCGCTGGGCACCCGATGAAGGAACATGGGATTATAATGTCTGGATTCCTTTGAAATGACCTCATATGGGAATATCCTAACTGTGAGCAGAACAATGGGAGGATGAGGGTATGAACACAATCAGATCTGGGGGAAATGGACCCTTTTGCCCTCGTAGAAGGTTCTCAAATACTACATGCCGTTAAATATATATATATAGAGAGCTCCCGTCTCTATTATTTCCCCCACACTGCATCAATAATTAAATCTTTGCATCCTGGGCTGAAGGGACTCGCTGGGATGGCACTGATATAAGGGTGGTCTGGTGGGGCGCTCCGACACCTTACATCCAGGAGGAAAATACATGCAGTCAAATATTATATTTATTTATTTGACTGTTTGACTGTTATTTGACTGTTGAATTAAACAACCAAAGAGTACGAAGCAGTCAAAATCCTCTCCATGTCGATTGGCTTCAGTATAACAACACCGTTGACATAATGCATCAATGTGGTAAAATAGTTGTATGTCATAGAATAATAATAATAATAATAGTAAATTTATAACACTAATATTAATTTAAAAGCCAGCTTACTAAGCTGAAAGACCACTAACTGTGGCAACACTGGTAAGTCGATGACTATTAATATTTTCACAGTAATAACCTGCATGTGTTATTCCCACCTCAAGGTTTCCAGCTGAAAGATTCCCTAAAATTTTAGATCTCAAAAGTTGAACTCGCTACAGGTGACAATGCAGATCCTCGTTACTCCCATGATGCTCGTGGGCGTCGGTAAAGTGATGCGAGCCGAGCATCATGACCACGGTACCACATGTCCGGTTACCTCCTCGAACAGCTCCAGGCTGTAGGTGTTGTCGTCGTCCGCGAAGAAAACCACTCCGGCGTCCCGCTTGTCCCGGTGCTGCCGGAGCCACGTCAGAGCCACGTTCCTCTGTTCGGTGGCGCGCGGCATCCCGGTGCGCTTGAACCTCCGGGGGGTGAAAATGTTCAGGTGCGTGTACGGCACGCCGCACCGGGCCAAGAAGCGCGCCACCAGCTCCGTGCGCGTCGCCGAGTCCTCCACTACGATCCAGTGGAACCGGGGCACCTGGCGGAAAGCCTGTGCCAGGCGGGTCAGCTCCGCCTTCTGCACCGGCCGGGTGTACGTCGGGGTGACGGCGTGGATGACCGGCAGAGCGGTTTGGTTCTGGGGGCCGCCGGTCCCCGGAGCGCGGGTCCGGGCCGCTCGCTGCGCCTTGCCGGTCCGGCCGGCCCCCGGAGCCCGGATCGCCTTTTTACTGTCGATATCGATCATGATGATGACAATGAGGGCCCATGGCAGCAGGATGAAGAAGCGGCTGAAAAAAACTGATTTCATGGCGAGGCTGAAGTTCCCGTGCGCTCTCTCACTCCATGGCGAACAGAGAGCCGCCGGCCGACCGACCGCAACTCCGGCAACCCTTCCTTCAAACCCGGGGGGGGTCTATTTACCCAGAGCCAACCGACAAAAACGGACCGCGTCAGTCCATCTCAAACTATGTAAAACCAAAAAGCACCACACCTGGACCCCATCCCGGCGGGCGCGCTTCCCCGGAGTCCCCCTCTCCTCCGCTCCCCCTCGGATGGGACTTGAGCGCTTCTTCGTCGTCCTGCAGCTCCTTCCTTCCCTTCCTTTCCCCTTTCCCTTCTTCAAGTTGGCTCACCCACTGGCGAGCGGCGTCAAATTCCCATGCTGTGCGCCGTGTTTCCGCGCGTGTGTCCAAGAGGAGAAAACCCAGCCGAGGCGTTTCTCCCGCCAGCGGGCGGTGTTCGGATGTGCGCCGCCGAGGAGCACCGCTGGCACCCACGAGGCGCCGTTTTACGGTGTGAGGATAATAAAGTGGGGGGGGGGGGGGGCAGGTGCAGAGAGAGAGAGAGAGAGAGAGAGAGCGAGAGAGAGCGAGCGCGAGAGAGAGAAAGGGAGAGAGAGAGCGCTTTTAACCCCTTATTTAAAATGTCTAGGAACTCACATGTGAGGTCCAACGCTGGCTGTGATTTATTTTGGCAAACTTTTGAATAGTTAAATGTTGATTACATTTAAATATAACATATATATATATACTTTAGATATTTGGCAAAACTAGGAATTCAGAGAAGTGCTAAATGAATTTCGCCTCGTGTCTCTAGACAATATTGTCTATAGAAGATGAATTATTATTCAAACTGCTTATTGCCTCTAACTCCTGAACGTGACTTTGAGCCTTGTTCATCTTTCTGAGCTCAGCGTTGTGGAGATCAACCAAGGAGGAGGAGGAGTTTATCAATCTCCGGTCTCCAGTATTGTTTTTAGCCGCCATTGCGTGTTCCCGTTGGCACACAGCAAAAATCTGTAATGTAACCAATAACATGTTGGTAATCTAACTTGTGTTTGCTTGTAATATTACAGAACTCACTGCAAAAAGTTGCAATTATCTAAAGGGAGAGCGGACCAGAACTCACCGGCATGTCTTCAAAACAATAAACAATTGATTTAATGCCAACTGTGACATCCCAGGAGCCACATTGAAACCAGCTCAAACTCTCAACTTATTGTTGAACATCATTCCATTGTGGTAATTATCTTCATTACAGAATGAAATGCAAATGTGTAGCAGGTTGTATTAAATACAAAAACGATTAAATAAAGGTAGTTGAGCCCAAAAAAACTGTAAATTACTGTCATCCCCGCAGCCAATGAGCCTACTGATGCTTTACGGTGAAATCGTTCGTAGAGAAGACGTGTATTGAACAGTATGTTGATCGATCGGGGGCCCGTCGTCGATCGGGGAGCGGAGCTTTCCTGGCTGACTGCCGTTCTCTCGGCTCGGCCCGAAAAAGCTCATCATCGGTGGTTAATTACGCACGCAACGCGGATCAAGAGACGTGTCGGGGGGACAAAGGAGAGAAATCAGTGAGCCGCGCTAATAGAGTCGTTTCACACAGAACTAATTGCAGGCAAACAAGCTGGTGATATCACAGGATGAAAGCACCTTTGATTGTTCGGATTAGGTCGCAGGCCTCAGAGAGCTGATGTTTTAAAGAAGGGCGATAGAGACTCTATGTTTGGCACCTGGAGACGCGTCCGGTCTTATGTTGTCCTCAAGCAAAATGACTTTGGGAGGCTCAATCAATCTCGGACTCAATGATTTGGATGAAATCCCAAGTGATGGGCTTACTCTAAGATAAATAACTTTTAAGGGGCCGAGGTGATGATAGCAAATGGTTCACCAGGCTCCAGTCCAAAAGCAGATTGCCAGGCTTCATCAACCTTGATTGCGTGTTCTTCCGTCTGCTCACACGCTATTTCGAAATGAAGATGACTCCTAAAGCAAAATTGAAATCAAAAGCAGGATGATTCATCTAATGGACATTTGCTCGAAGAAAGTCTTGTTCTGAATTTTTTTTTAAACACAGAAAACCAGTGTTCGCGTCCTGCGTGAAACCTAACATGACAGACTACAGGAAGACGATATAAGCATTAGTTATTGAAACTAGTTCTGAATGCCCTGAATCCTTGGAATTGATCCCACGACTCCATCTTGCCATTTTTTTGCAACAGTACAATAAAAATCCTCCTTATTGCTCTTTAAATGCGGCATTGTGTCAGTCCCGTGTCAGGTCATGAGCATCTCACTGATCCATCAGGCTTTGCAAAAATCCTCCCCTGGCAGGCTGTCACACCTGTCAATCACTTGTCAAACTGCCACGTCAGTCACCTATCTCCACATTGCAAATGCTTTTTTCTCAATAACATGTGTGTATGTGTGCGTTAGAAGAGTTGAAGAGTTGAAGTTAAAGATAGAGCTATATACTGGGGAACAGAACAAATGTAAACAAAATCTATCGTTTCAAGTCTTCCTCCTTACAGCTTGGTGTTTGTTCATTAAACGGTGGTCCGTTTAATGGTCATAGAGACAATAAAGCAGAATATGCTGTGTGATGCTCAACAATATACAAATATATAAACAATAAATATAGAATAGACTTTTGCAACGGATCATGTAACACACCAATTATGGCACTAAGACAAGAATGAAGTGAATGCGGAGTATACGAGTAACGCACCTTGAAAATCTACATCACAACTGTGTTCACCGTTCAGATCCTTTACTTTGGTTCGGCAATCTGATTGCTTGCGACCAGTTGGATGTTGCTTCTCGTATTTCTCTGGGAGCGTCTTTGCAGAAGAAGGCGTCCTGCTCAGGGTGTGAACGCTAAATGGATTGAAAGGCTGCGTTGAGTTGAGGGAACCTCGACTCGGGGGGGTAAAGTCTGTGACTTGGTCGACCCTCCGTGTGCAGCTCTGACAGGTGTTTGTGCGGCTAAAACTCCAATCTGCTCGGCATTACCTGGCCACTTTGTCACACTGTGACGGCAGTGGATGTAGTGTTTTTTTTAGAAACAAACATCCGTGCCCCCCCCCCCCCCTTCTGTCAACACCTTGATGCATGCAACATCCTGCTGTGATTGCACGCAGGAAGCCGCAGCAGGACAGAGGAAGAAGCATCCTGCTGCGGCTCCCTGCGTGCAATCACAGCATCATTAGTGAAGTCAACCTGCATTTTCTACAGCTAATGCTATTCGACGCAGACTTGGGTCAGCTGCCTGTCATCGCAAGGACGTCGTATTATTTGACCCCGAAGGCTCGGCCTGGCATCTGACATCGTGTCACACGGGCCAAGCAGTCTGGTGACAGGCGGTCCTCTGGGCGAGGACCACAGACTGTGGGGCTGATGTAGCAACATTCTGCCCGTCTCCCCCCCCCCGCAACTGAGCCTTTTTAGAGGATCTGAGGTGTCACTCAAAGGGTCTCGGACGCCCCCGGACCTCCCGTATTTTCCACAGTCAGCTAAGTGAAAACACAAAACTGTGAAAGTCTGTCGCCTTTTTTAAAAACATTATAAAATATGTCCTATCTTAATGTTTTCAGTATGTAATAATAATTTATTCCAGAGTGTCCAGATGCAGTAAAGATGCTCGGAAACGTTCATTTGAACACAACTTTTCTATTCTCTAGATTTTTAGGAAAGCGCTCGTGTGAATTGAGGAGACATGGTTTGTCTGGACACACTGATCCAGAGCGGAGAGAGTTGGACTTTACAGCCTCTCTCTCTCCTCCGCTTATCACATTGACATATAATGCAAGTTTGTCATATGTTGTGCACATTGATATGAACGTGTCATATATTATTTGGAGGCGTATTGTATAGCAACTAAATGTAGTTATAGGCACAGATAATAGAAGAGGTAGAGAGACAATGAGTCAACGCCCAGAGCTGGGATTAAGAACAAAAGAAATGACAGAGAAGAGAAGGTGTGTGTGTGTGTGTGTGTGTGTGTGTGTGTGTGTGTGTGTGTGTGTGTGTGTGTTTTCAGAGCTGCTGTATAACCCTGAGGGCACCTCACTGTCATTCCTTCCGATACAGCTGAGCCAGAAGATGGAGAATATAAAGGCGCAAGAGAAAGCATCACTGCTGGTGATACTGGAAGAGGACAGAAGAGGAAAGAGTGAACGAGTGAAAACAAGTAAGACAGGAGAGAGAGAGAGAGAAAGATCAAATGAATAAGAACAGAAAGATGTGGGGGAGAAGCATCCTGCAGTGTTTAGAGTCGCACCAGCTGAAGAACTGCCACAATCAACTAACTGCAGCACACTGGCCACCGATGTGCACATAAATCATGGCCGGAAATGCAATTATATGATAATGCACAGTTCAATTCAAGGGAGGGGGAGAGCGACAATTCAAATCAACTTTAAGAAATGGCAACCCGGTCACAATGGCTTTGTCAACCCCGCTACCTTAACATAGAAATAAGCTTGTCCAGCTCTTTTACAGACTGGTGACTTGATGCATTTTGCTTCGGAATGAAAACACACTGAAGAGGCACCGCTTGACAAAAAAGTCAAAATTGTAATTGCTCAGACTGTTGACATGCTCTTAAAAAATAATGGGAATAATTTCCACGGGGTCAAGGAAAGATAGTGAGTGACAGTAGAGAATTCATGAGGAGTTAGGAAAAGAAAACCGGGGTGTTAATAGAATCCTCACTCTCACTAAGCTACGTAGTTCTGATGCGACGGGAGACGCATGCTAGTGAAACTACAATTCCTCCGAAGATGGACCAAATGAAGTTCACCGAATGAATTTTATTAAGAAGGGTGCCATGTAAATGAGTTTTTAAATATTGCTGCCACAAGGAATTGTGGGACGGAATTATCTCCTTTCCTTTCGTAAAGGATGGTCCAGTGGTTCCTTTGCTAAAGGAGCTAAGTAGGGAAGCATCGAAGCTCCTTTCCTTAGCATTAGATCATGGTGTTCACTTACACTACTTTACACATGCTACAGCTTCTACCACTAGTCATGCTTTTTCTACTTCAATTCAGAACAGAATCTAGCGGATGGAGAACATCAGGGAGTTCTGTAACAACTCCTCTGTTTGTACCCGGTGAGGCTCAATTAAATGTTAAGGTGAACTGAAGAAAACACAATCTCTCTTTGTTACCAGGAAAGTTCCTGTTATTGACAAATTTTGCGTCATCTCACAGATGAGAGATTTAACTCAGGCAGTCAGGAGTAAAATCAACCAGCCGAAATTCCCCGCACAAAGACATCGCCATGAT